CAACATCTTGTTTTATATTGATGTCTACAAGAAGAGAAAACTAGGGTAAGGTAAAAAATATGTAAAATGGATTAATTTCGCAACATCTTGTTTTATATTGATGTCTACAAGAAGAGAAAACTAGGGTAAGGTAAAAAATATGTAAAATGGATTAATTTCGCAACATCTTGTTAGAAGTTGGATTCTATTTATACCAACACTAATAATATTGTTAAATATATTATTAAAAATATTCTTGAATTAAATTTGAAAAAAATAAAATAATTATCAGGCATTGCATGTACGTTTGAATTTTAAAACGTACATATTAAAGATCTTGATATGGATTTAATTAAGTTTACGTTAAATCGGAATATATTTCCTAATGATAAAAAACACCATAAAATATAACCTGGAAAAATTATATATTTTATAGATTTTAAAGTGCCTTCAATCCTACATAAAAATGTTCAAGAAAAGGTATTTCTTATAAAAGTATTACAACCATCTTTTATGTTTAAATAAAATAATTCATTGAAAATCTTAATCCAGAAGATACTGCTAATTACCTTGAAAATGTAATAATACGTTTACTGATTCTTTTCATACTATTACTGGTGATTTGAATGTGATCAAAGATATTGATCTTATAAAAAAGGAACTAAGTTTAGAATCTTAAATAAAACTATGAAGAATGGAATAATATAAAATATAGAAACAAATATTCTCGTCAAGAAATTAATGTCCTGTTTTGGAGTACTTTCATTAACCACCCTCCAAAAAACGTATATCACGTATAATAGTTAAACAAACCGCCTAAACGTCACGTTAGTGTAGTCTATATAATGTGTAAAGTTTAGTATACTCTAATCCCTTATAGTGATGGCACACGATGAGACACACATTCAGCGTGTAATGCTGTTTGAATACAAGAAGGGAAACAACGCCTTTGTCGCCACAAATAAAATCAAAGAAGTTTATGGAAATGTTTTGAACGTTCTTAAGTGTCAACGATGGCTCAGCAAATTTCGTTAAGGTGACTTTAGCCTTAAAAACTGTGATGGCAGGGGTTGACATGTTGGAATTGATATTGATGATCTGAACACGCTTGTTGAGTCTAACCCAAGGTAACACACTCGTAAAATGGCCCTGAAATTACATGTCTGTCATGAAACAATATGTAAACATCTAAGGAATATGGGAAAACTCCATAAAGAAGGTGTTTGGGTTTCTCACGAACTCTCTGGTGATCATCGTTTCCAAAGTGTGAACGTTGCTTCGTCTCTTCTGGCATGTAATGCGCGTGAACCATTTTTGGACAGAATTGTCACCGGTGATGAAAAATGATGCGAATATTAAACGCCAAAAATAATGGTTAAGTCCTAGACAAAAACCACTTCCGACCCCCAAACCTGGACTCCATCCGCAGAAAGTGATGCTTTGCAATTGATGGGACATCAATATCGCATACTTCCGCATTCACCTCCAAAACCCAAAGCACACCTTATATTCCACATTATAGCCTGGTAATCTTTTTAATTTAGGCAACGTTCTTATTATATGTTTCTGTGGTTGCTAGGGCCTGTTTTAAAAAAAAGATAATTAAAATATTTATATGCATACATATAAATATGTACATATGTATTAGCTATTAGTAAAACATAATAGATTTACCACGGAAGTCATTGAGTAAAACTATATGTAAATACTTAAAATACTCAGAAAAATTTTGGACAAGATTAATTTCCCATCAACTGTTCAGACGATTTTTATTAGGTCGTAATTTCACCTTTTCTGTTTTTGCTTTTAAGTAATGGGCGTTAAGAGCATTGTGCAGTCAAAGCAGATGTTACACAGCTCAGCGGATAGCGTTTCCGACCGAGTGAGACATTTCATTGTTTAAAGATGTTTCGAAACAATATGTAAAAGTTAGAGTTACACGAGTTGTTTTTATAATATAAATATTCTATTGAATGAATACTCATAAATATTAACAAACAGTCGCAATCTTCAACTACGTTTCGTTTGTTTTAGGTCTTGATTGACAGAGTTTTCACTTTCCGCTCAGTTTCTTAACGTTTTATACAATATAAAATCGTACTCTAGGTTTTGAGACAAGATCGATAATATTCATCTTATGTTCCTCCTGTCGTTTATGTTTCATAAAACAAACAAACATTGTGTTTCATAGTATTCCCTGTAACTTCGCTTCAAATTATTTAAATAATAACCACCCAGACTTACCTTAAGTCCTCACGTTGAAGACGAACTTTTTCAAAGTTTACAGTAACTCTTTCATTGTACTTTCCCATGAAGTGATAAGCACACATTACGTTCCGAGGATAGGTACTGGGATAAAGTGGTGAGAAGAAGTAGCCTTTACTACGCGAATTGTTACCTCTGAAGAACTGGTAGTCACAACTGGTTCCATGAAGAGGGTCGCCATCAGTGAGAAACATACCTAGTGAATGTACATAATAACTTAAATTAAAAGAGAATAAACATACTTAACAAAGTAGAAATAGATTATCCTCCCTGATAGAGTATGCGGATAAGATTATTATTTTGTGAAGTACAGCCAGGTAAAATTATCATTTGATATATATTACAGTTAGATAAGTGATACATAATACCAGATAATACGATTATTTTGTTCATTACAGTTCAATAAAAGTAAATATGTTTTTGAGTTCAGTCAAGTAAGATGATAATTTTATTGAGTGCAGTCACATAATACGTTTCTTGTTGTTGAGTGCACATAGATAAGCTGAATATTTTGTCAGAAGCAGCCAGATAAGATGGTTCATTTCTACAGTCAAATAAGCTGCATATTGTGTTGCGTGAAGTAGTGTATAATAATTATAATACTGAATCAAGTCAATTGATATGTTTATTTTCTTGGGAACAGTCAAGAAAGATGATTATTTTTGTTGACTATTGTCAGATAACTTGAATATTTTGCTGTGTAAATTTAAATATATTAAAAAATAATTTATAACATCTCTGTCGCATCAACGTATACAAATATTTCTCGAATTATTTTTATAACTTGCAATTTTAATTCAGTAGATAAACAAACAGATTCACACCATTCTCCAGTTTCAAATTTGTTAGTTTTTGTCATTAGTGATAGGGCCTGGCATGGGCAGGTGGTTATGGCGCTCGACTCCCAAGCTGAGGGTCGCCAGTTCAATCGTGGGGGCGTTATAATGTGACGGTCAGTCCCACTATTCGTTGGTAAATGAGTAGCCCAAGAGTTGGCAGTGGGTGGTGATGACTAGCTGTTTTCCCTCTAATCTTTCAGTGCTTTGTGCGAAATTCAAACCAAAATCGTTAGTGATAACGTTAAGTCTCTCCATGTTAAAAGAAATAATTAGAACAGAAAACACATTCGGAATTGTTTGTTCCCAAGACATTTTAATTTCGAGGAAGCTTTGTTTATTTGTTTGTAATTAAGCACATATCTACACAATGGGCTATCTATGCTCTGTCTATCACGGGTACCGAAACCCGGTTTCTAGAATTGTAAGTTTGCACTTGGTAGTTTCGAGGAAGCACAGAAAAATTCAGATATCTGCAAAAACAACAACTAATTTAGCACTGGTCTGAGTGAGACGTTCAGAAGTGTATGATTTCTACTTCAGGTAAATCGTAAGATTAAAACGGCTCATTCTTTCATCCATTCAATTTCAAAACCATGGCAATTCTACCCACATGTTAGAAATAGAGTATTCTAGCACCAAAGCGACTATGGCCAATGTGAAGGCGATACTATTCAGTAAATATATTGTACTATGTATGCGTATTCAACATTTTGTTCTGTATTCTTTACAACTACAAAAAAAAATAGAAAAAAAAAGATTAAAGAAACCAGCTGTTTCTGCTCAATTAATACAACTATGGATAAGTAGACGATTCAAAATAAAAGCAAGAATATAAGTAAAAAACTGCAATAATAAGATCAAATCAAAGCATGTTTCTACCTTCTATTTCATTTAAATTATATTTATACACTTCTTATATGGATGTGAGTGTTCAACGTAATGCACTTCGTATTTGTCCTTATCTGTTTTTATTGTTCTTCATCACTATTTAGATATCGTATATTACCCGTATTTGTCTTTATCCGTTTTTATAGTTGTTCATCACTACTTAGATATCCTATATTACCCGTATTTGTCTTTAAAAGACAAATACGGGTAATATAGGATATCTAAGTAGTGATGAAGAACTATAAAAACGGAATCCGTTTTTATATTTCTTCATCACTACTTAGATATCCTATATTACACGTATTTTTCTTTATCCGTTTTTATAGTTGTTCATCACTACTTAGATATCCTATATTACCCGTATTTGTCTTTATCCGTTTTTATAGTCCTTCATCACTACTTAGATATCCTATATTACCCGTATTTGTCCTTATCCGTTTTTATAGTTCCTCATCACTACTTAGATATCCTATATTACACGTATTTGTTCTTATCCGTTTTTATAGTTCCCCATCACTACTTAGATATCCTATATTACCCGTATTTGTCCTTATCCGTTTTATAGTCCTTCATCACTACTTAGATATCCTATATTACACGTATTTGTTCTTATCCGTTTTTATAGTTCCCCATCACTACTTAGATATCCTATATTACCCGTATTTGTCTTTATCCCTTTTTATACTCATTCATCACTATTCAGATATCCTATATTAGAGCGAACGAAATAACGACCTATGAATGCATACACACATCCGAGTATGAATACAAGTGTTATCGACAGTCACTTACTTTTATTTAGGAAACGGTAGGTTCCCCTGAACCCAGTATTATTTTCTTGTCTCCAGTCAGTGTGGAATTCAAGAATAAGAGCTTGGCCGGAGGAGTAGTGTGTCTGGTCAATGTCCGCTATCTTCCCACACAGTATTGAGTTTTCTCTGGTTTTGTGATCCACGGCCGCCTCCTCTAAGTGAAGAAATAATCTCACATAATCTCCCAGATGGCATCTGGAATGAACCCAGTACGATTCATTAGTAGTCTCTGAGAATCATCACATCATGAGAAAAAATACACAAAAAATCTTGTTAATTACATTTCACTGTTTCAGTCCTATAGAACATTTTGACTAATTAAAAAAAGAATGTTTACCATTGAGTTCAGACGTAGAGCTTTTCACGTTCGTGTGGGAATGTAAATATAAATAATATACGAAGTGATTTACTAGCCAATTATAAACGATTTTTATTCTCCCTAATGTGGAAGTTAAAAGGCATTATTACTAAGTTACTGTTAATGAACTTTGTTATCTGTTGTTATCATCCATTAACATTATAAATTAAAGCTCTGGATTATGCAAGTGATTTTCAATTTATTTTAGTAAATACAGATTGGGTACTGAGAAAATAAAACACTAAAATATTAGAGATATTTAAGATGTGGGTTTGGCGGTAAATGAAAAGAGTCAACTGGACTGAACGGATAAGTAATGAGGAGTAAAAAACGAACCTTGATGGAAAAATGCAGAAAGGACAAAAATTATGAATGAGACATACTGTTCGATTGGCGAAAATTTGATGAAAAAGTTTCTAGAAGGAACGATTCAAGAGGAACAGCCTAAGGGTAGGAAATGAAAAGCATTGCTGAGCGATCTGAGAGGCAGAATATTTTATGGTGAAATGAAGAGGACAGAGGAAAATATGGATAATTGTAGGAAAAGCTATTGAGTCACAAAACTGCCCTGAGGCAGTTAACTCAATAATATATTTCACAAGTAAAGTAGTTAGGTTAATGAGCCTATCTATCGATCTGTTTCAACCCATTTATTATATCGAAAATATTTGGAACTAATAGGTAATAGATTTCTTGGATAGTTAATAGTAAATGATTACTTAGAGGGTGTACGCACAGGCATTAGATTTACTTTCAACTTTATCAACTGTTTTGACAAACTACCATTTGAAACATCAAATTTTCCTTAAATCAAAAAATAGCATGTGAATATTAGGCGTTAGTGCTGTTGAGCTTATGATAGACGTTTCTTGGTAAAACCAGATTATCTAAGGAACAATAAGAGACTGTATTGATCACTACTGTTGTCTAACTTTACAGTAGCTTATTATATTAGCATATCTGGATTGAAATCGAATTATCGCCACTTTCTCCATTTTTTTATTTAATCCTTATTGAATAAATCACAGCAAATAAGGATTTATTACATCGTGTATTGATTGAGATATCTGTTTACGTTAAACTTGAATAAAGAACTATAATTATCATAAGGCATTATTTTGGGACTACATGCGATTTCTTTTTTTTTTCAAACAACAAATTACGATGACATTAAGGATTCCAGAGTAGCTATTGTTTATATTCAACTTAAATCTTTAGCTAAAGGTCCTCAGTCATGGTGTTTTATATTCTGGAGGGCTTCTGCCTAAAAAGTTTCAGAAAAAACCTAAATTTAGCCGAGCAGTGAAGTATAGAAAATGAAATCATATAAAATTCATTGTATTTTTATACAGTTTGTTTGTTTCTTTTGGAAGTTAAGAACAAAGCTACACAATGGACTATCTGTGCTCTGCCCACCACGGATATCGAAACCTTGTTTTTAGCATTGTAAGTCCGCAGACATTCCGCTGTGCCACTAGGGGGCGTTTTATACGGATATTTTTTGACATTATTCCTGAATGATTGCAAATTTAGATTATTTGTCAGAAAGCTTACAAATAATGTGTATGAAACTAAAATATCTGTAATTCTAAACATTAAGAAGTCCACACCACAAAGCAACACAATCTTAGTTCACAAATAGTAAAAGAATATGAAAGAGGGTAAAACGGCCACCCCTACACATCACCAATTATGACATGCTGCCATTTGTGTCGACGAAGTTTTCACTCTTTGCCCATCTCATGCATGATAAGCTTATCACAGTTTGGGATTCAATGGCGTTGCTAGCTGGTTGTTCAGCTTGGGTTTTTAGTTTTGAATTAGGAGTTCTTGTTTTTTCCTTGGTGTTCTCTCATCTTCTGCTGAGTCTATTATTTTGAAGGGTTCGATGTTAGGTTTCTCGCTACAGTCTTTGTTTAGATGGTTCTAAATTCAAGAGTTGTTGGAAAGGCTATTTTGGGCCTGCTCTTTAATTCTGGTAGCTAGGGTTCGGGTCGTTGACCCAAGGTAGACATGCTTGTAGCATGGAAATGAGTATTAATACACCACCAGCGACGTTTTGAAGGAGGTATTTGTCTTTATACAGGAAAAGGTTGCATACTGTTTGTTCGGTTTGAAGATCACTATTAGGCTGAGTTGGGGATAAATTGAGTGCAGGATGTTTTTGATCTTTCTTTTTTAGTTTGGTGCTATGAAAACCAGTGAAGGTGATAGGACATTTGGGTACGTTGAAGTCTGGAACCTTGGGGTTGTAAATTTTATTGATATATTCAAAAATACTTTTGTTGATGAATGCTAAAGGGAAATGCTCTTCATTATTTTTTGGAACAACTTTTATCTAAGGTAAGAATTTTGATTGTTTTATGTTTACAAAGTAAATATTTCAGGGCATTTCACTTGATTTCAAACAATGACTGATAATAGATAGCTAAATATGCCTTAATAGAAAAATAATTCAATTTACAATTAGTAACTTAGGGAAGTTATGATGTATACTTCCGCCATAGGCTTCAGCCACGTCATTGCCTCATAGTAGTACGCATGTTCTTTTGCATCATTTTCCTATATTATGCGAAACTTGCGCAAGGCCTTCTGATCCATACCGAGAGCATTTAAATTATGATTTAAGGATTTAAATGCAGTTATAAAAAATGCAGCATTTATTTCAAATTGTAGTTGTTATGATTTAGAAAGGAGCCATTTTACCCAATCTCGGGGGACACTTTTATCTATCCCAGTCACACCAAACATGCTCGCCCTTTCAGCCGTGGGGGCGTTATTATGTGACGGTCAATCCCACTATTCGTTGGTAAAAGAGTAGCCCAAGAGTTGGTGGTGATGACTAGCTGCCTTCCCTCTAGTCTTACACTGCTAAATTAGGGACGGCTAGCGTAGATAACCCTCGTGTAGCTTTGCGCGAAATTCAAAAACAAACAAACAACACTTTTATCTAACCTTATAGATAAAAAGGCCCCAACCATAATAATTATTTTTTCATTATCTAAAAATATCTATATCCAATATTCTTTTAACTAGTTTAAAACAGTTTACATTTCAAAACCATTTTCTTTTTCATGACAATCATCTTAATTGGTGAAAACAACATCCAAAGTTAAGGTGACCGTTTTAATCCACCTTCCCCCTACAAATTAATTTACGGTCTAATTTTTCACCTACAGACCTCCTGGCTTATAGTCAAACTTACGTTCTTGAAATCGGGTAAATGACTTTCATTACTCCATAACATTTTCAACCAGCTATCAAGATTTCAGAGCTGATTGACTTTACAACAGGAAAGAAAAGGTGCCAAGTACACTTCTTATTGATGATAAGATTTTTCCGTAGTATCCACAACCATTAAAAACTAGCTCCACTAACCTCTAAGATAGTGCTCATGACCAAATTGGATTCAGTAAAGTCATCGCGAATTCGTTCCAAAACGATTTCTAGAAGTTTTTTTTTTTCACAAGGCTAACGTGAGTGTTTTTTTCACGTATATATCACCTTTAGGCAACCTAAAGGTGTTGTTAGAAGTTATGCAATTACATGACCAATACTAATGAATGAGTGCGTGCAGAGTACTTTCGAATAATTCACCATTCAAGAAGAATAGTGAACTATTCGAAAGCGCTCGAGTTTTGGGTCTCATTTGAAAACCATCACGACTTTTATATGTGATCCTGTGTGCTAACTTATTAATCAGAATGCATGCAGAGTAGGTTGTACAAACACTCAATCACTTCGCGTAAACTTATGCCACTTCCAGAAGTCCATAACTTCTTCTCTTCTAATTTCGCATCTTTCATGATATTTTGGTATATTTTATTCACTTGAATACTACTAATTTACTTATCTAATGTGCTCCTGCATTTTTACTCATCAAGTTCCCATCCAAAATGTTCAAGTGATACTTATTTATCTATCTAATTTTTGAATCATTTAATTGTTCCTAATAAGCTACCATTTAAAAAATCGTATGAATCAGACAAATTTCTATCATAAAAAAGAAAACTTAGCTCATCATATTTACATTTATTGCAAATATCGCACCTCAGAATTTGTGGTTTTATTTAATTCTCCAAAATACACACACAAAACCATATACAAACTCCATCATTTAGTAAGGCTGTTCTTAGTGAAATATAAAATTAGCAAGTGTAATCCTCTAACTGTTAAATGTTAATAGCAATGTATATATGATTGTTTCAAGAATGACGTGTATTCAAGTACTGTATGAATCTTAGCGCTTTTCTATGTTTTTCAAAGACGCTGAAAGACGAAACATGAAGGGAAAGAATTATATTAGGTACCTTACTGTTGTTGTTAGAGGCAGTTTTATAAAATTTTATATTGTACTGGATGACACAGTAGGGTCCCAAGAGATTCCACTGCCAGAATTAATCAATATTAACTTCAATTTGCATTTAGTTCTTCTTCCAACCAGGCGATGAAACAAAAGCGCACATACCGATTAAGAAAGGGGAGGATTGTGAATCACTCAAAATATCTAGATTTAACAAAAGTAAAAAAAAGAGTTATAAAATAAATATTCCCAATGTTATTATCATTTCTTTTTATTAGAAGTAAAGGGAATAATTCATATTGTACTGGATATCATGTGAGTAAATGGGTGAAGACATTTTACACCAGATATAATCTATTAGACAAGGAAATAATTTTGCAGAAAATATGCCAGTAGACAAGAGAACGTTTCTTACAGAAAATATCATACAACTAGACGGTGGACATATTTTATGTAATATATTATATCATTGGGATGGCTAAATCCATCTAATTCCCGATTTCATCTTTTTAGTACTTTTGGAAACTCATTTTACACAGAATAGCAAATCAACAAAAGACATGACAACCCCAACTGATATAAAATTTGCGGTGGAGTGGAATATATCAGAAGAACATTTTGGCATTGTTTGGCGGAAAATGGGTAGTGTGATGCCACCAAAAACTGTTTGCTTTGAGGAAGAGTGTGTAACAACCTCTTCTGGTGCATAATACTCACACATTTGGATCAGAAACATGTGTTCATATCTGGGATTTAGAATTCCAAGACAGTGATATCCTTTGTACTTAATGGCATTGTAAAAACACATCATACCCCAGCCGTGATAAGCAAAGTGTGGCTCCTTGCAATAGGTCAGAATCCATGAACATAAAGGTTAGTCACAGAAGATGCTCACATGCCCCAGGCATCAGTACGAAAGATAATTATCAAGGATCCCTACCTGAAAAATTAAAAAAAGTCGCATGTACATTCAACCATTGCATACCTTAAGCAGCTGGAGAATGAAACAGGTATTCGTGCAATTCCATAAGAAAACATAGCGGTCACGGCGCCGCATGCAGCATCTATGGATTTCTGAATAACAACTGTTTGAACAGATACTAGGAACAATCGTCCTCGTACACTAGATTGTTTATGGAAAGCAGCAGGAGGAGGGATGTGCTTTGGACAGGACAGTCTTACGACGGATCCTTTTACAATAGAACTGCACACATGCACGGTCGCCAGGTAGAATATAATTGAACGTGGCGACATCGAGTATAGCGACGTGATGAGACTCCAAAATCATTTTAATGTACAGGGTGGGCAAAATGTCTCGGCACTCCTCCCCCTCAAATAAAGATAGTGTACATGAAAGAAATAATTTATTGCATATTAACATATTCACCCATCTCGTATTGACACAGACTAAAACAAAAAGTTCGATTAATAATCCAAAAATCTCTGTCTGTCGGCCTTCATTTTCATGACATACGATGATAGGTTTCCATGTGCGATGTAACATCCTCCTTAACATATTAGGGGTGACCTTAGCGAAACTTTCAAACAATGGTTTGTTTCAAAGCGTCAGTTGTTTAATATCGTTTCTTAGCCACAATCTGTTTGATAAAGCCCCACAGGGAATTATCACATGAGCTTTAAATAAGGGAGCGCCCAGGCTTTTTGCCTGTAACTAAGGAGAAAGCGAGGTAAGACTGCCATCCCCACATATCATCAGATATGATGTAATGCCACTGGAGTGAGCTTCATATAACTATTGTTCACGTGACTCCGTGCATAAACACGTTAGTGGACTGGCGCGAATGTGAATGATAAAAAGTACGACTTCTTTAACAACTTTGAAATAAGATAAGTATTTTGAATTTTTCATGTAGATATTTCAGGAAATTTCATTTTTGTTGATTTAGAACAAATTATATACCGTAAAAGCAACAGATCAAGTTTACTAATTTTTATGATGTATAATTGCTTTACAATGGGTAGCTTGGGGTAAGACAGTCCACCCCGCGGGACTTTATTACCCCACACTAATGACGTGTATTTCCGCTATGTACTTTGGCCACAATTTACGTCACTGACCCACACTAACACTCAGGTTCTTTTCGCCATCCTCCTAACCCACACTAACACTCAGGTTCTTTTCGCCATCCTCCTAACCCACACTAACACTCAGGTTCTTTTCGCCATCCTCGTAGATAATACGCAACTTTCGCATAGCGTACGGCCTTCTCGATCTCTGCAGGAAGCATTTAAATCATCATTTAAGTGATTTTAATGCAGCTGCAAAGTATGACATTTATTTTAAATTGCAGTTGTTATGTGTTAGATGGGAGTTATTTTATCCTATCTCGGTGGGCTGTTTTTTCCAAACTTATAACTAAAACGGCTCCAATTACAATAAGGGCATATTTCAATATCTAAGAAAAATGTCCCTGTCCAATATATGTTTTAACCAGAAGTGATATTTAGAATAAAAGAGAGTTCATTTTAAAATATTTTGAGTTTTCATGACGTTCCTCTTAATTGGTGAAAACCGCGTTCAAAGTTAGAGTAGCCGTCTTACCTCACCTTCCCTACTCAATTTTTATGTACTTTCTTCCTGCTAATAGACAGAAGAATGAATTTTATACCAGCTGACATTCTAGTAGTAGGGGGACATATTTTGCATCAGTTATCATTATAGTACACGAGTACACCTTTTACATCATTTTAACATGCTAGTAAATAGGACAAGGTATCCAACATTAGCTATCATTCTAGTGATTAGGGAACATATTTGACATAAGATAGCACATTAGTAGACGGGAAATTTACCAGTTATCATGGTAGTGAACATGAACTCACTTTACACTAAATATGTATTTTTTTAAAGAAACTTTTATTTTCTTACTTACTCTAAACTGGATTTCTGGACATCAAACTCGTCGAAGGTTACCTCCACAATCTCTCCTTCTTCAGCTTGAAATGTGTAGAGAACACAGTTAATATTGTCTTCGTAAGGAATTGGCCAGTTGGGTGATGTAAATACGCCATAGTCTTTCCCAAATGTACTGTCATAGACAACACAGTGACAGCCTACAAATAAGAAATAAACTTGAACCAAACTTTATGATAGTTTGGCCTTAAAAATGCTTGTTGAGAGTCAGTAAACAAACTAAAACGAACTTAGCTTGATCCTATTTTTGCAAATATTTTCTTCTCTTGAGAGAAAAACATCAGCCAATAAAATTCATTAACTGTAAGGATGAGAGTTGAATACCGTACTAAACGTTTGTAATACATTTGGTTTCGTATTTCATTTACACGGAGAATAAAACGTATATGTTCTATACCTGATACAGCTTTCAGTTACCAATAACTAACGTAGAAGTTTTGCTGGTGTTTTCGGTATAACGCTTGCACACTTCCAATGAGAAGGTCTACATGACAAATTCATCACGCTTATTAATTCTGTATTCATCTATCTACAGTTATGTTGTACTTTTGAATAAACGTATAGGTAATCAAGGACCATAATTCAGGAATCACTCATACAGAGTTTTCAACAAAGAAGCATAAATATGTTCCACAAGGGATTAATCATTGCTCGGTTACAAGTACTTTGATTAGTATGGATTTTGGTAATCAGTTAATCTTAATCCTATTTTTGATAAAGTCGTTTGATAAAATAAATTATAAATATGAATTAGAAATCCCCAAAAAACGTATTTTCTCGGATTTTTTTCCTTGAAAAAATTTGATTCGGTTGATTTTTATTTAATTTGTTTTCTTAGTATTAAGTACGTAAGTTGAAATTTTAAATAACTTCCGTTACTCCACGTACCTTTATATTCATATCTCTGTATTTTTAGACTAGCATTTAACTATTTCACAAGGTCACTTATTAAATGCCTAAATGCCAGTATAATAAATCTATCTATTGTGAAATCGTATACGAATCAGTAGGCAACTTTAAATATCACTTTGTAATATTAATACCATTTAAAGGTGACTATACAATGACAGGACATGACTGCTGCCAGCTTTCAGAAACCTGGTTACTTTTAATTCATAGATATTTCATCTTATCTTAACACTATGCTCCTGGAAAATAGTCCGTCAGAATTTCTTTAAAAAAATATTATTAAATAATTGTACAGAAAGTTTTTGTGACCTTTTTGCCCATTGCTTGTGGCAAAGTCATCAACCAAAAACATTTTTAAAGGGTTTTTGTTTGTTTGTTTGAATTTTGCGCAAAGCTACTTTTTAAAGGGAAGAGCAACAAAATGAAACATTCCGTATTATGTAAAACTCCAACCGGAATAACGTTGAAATATCATATACCAGGTTTGTTATTTTAAGCTGGGAATTAATCATATAAGTATTTTTCAATGTGTTTACGCAACTATCAAAAGCTTGAATGTTTGATTTGACAAATTAAAATGGAACAAATAACTTATTATAGTCATTTCAAATATTTTCTTTTTGATTTTAAACTTGTATCGATTTATATGTTTACGTAAACGCTGGGACCTGTGATGTATATGGATTACTGCCCCCAAAACAAAACTAAGTTTGCACTTATTTCAATTGACGCCGACAGGCATAAACAGAAAATTTAGTTTAATTGTGTTTTTTTCAACAGCTAAAAGTCGGGTCGGCGATTTCGAGAAACTCCTTTTTTTTCTTTTTGGAGTGGCCTTATCCAAAGTTTGTTACGGATATTCTATGAATTGATATTCTAGGCTCATTAGCAATAAATTTATTTATAAGTGTGAAAGAACATTATCCATGAATTTGAAGTCAGATTTTTGTGATGGTAACAGTTAGAGATGTAACTGGTCGGCATTGAAAATACTAAAAAATGACCAATATCGGATGACCTCATCAATTTGGTAAATACGGACATCACATTGTAATACCAAACATTGTGATTTAAAAAAAAGGAAATCTTATATCATGTATTTCTTAAGTCGGGCTAGTAGAGCTAATCACTTTCAGTTAATTTTCTTATTTTTCTCTCGGCTGTTTTAACTTTCCTGATTTCTATGAACAATAACGAAGTGCAGATTTATTCAGAGCTTTAATTGGGAAACGTCTTATTAGTGCGATAAGGTTTTCATGCTGTGAAATATTTCCTAAAGAAAACAGTCTTCTTTCCAATTAATAACATTACGACAAGGAACGTAAGACAAGTCGTTTCCTCTTCTATCCTGTTTGCGCTTCTTCTTTATGAGCTGTCAGCGTATGTCTTTCAAATTTGTTTTCGACAACTCCTGGCTTCAAGATATAGTGCAGACATAACGAGGATGTTTTATATTCTACATTATCCGTATTAGTAAGCACACTAAAAGAAAGATGGAGCTTCAACTGAAAGTTCTTAATCAATGCACCATTAGCGACATGCTTAGTTATCTCTCTCATTTGTTTTTCCTGTCTGTTCGATGTCTCTTCCGTGTACCATTTTGCATAAAGCTTATCAACGCATTATCCATAAAACAGAAAAGCTTTAGTTTTAAAAGTATTTTTAAATACAACTTATCAAACGAGAAAATAATGGTATACATATATATATAATAATAATAATAACAATATATTAAAGTATTACATATGATAACACTGTTAGGTGCGTTGTTTCTTAACAAATCAAATCATGTTTATGTAAAATTCATCAAATACAACAAGTCAAGTGCAAAGTTTGAAAATTCTAAACAGACATATTTTTTATCCAGTCATCAAAGTGCTGAAATAATTTAAATTGACAACACTTTCTTATATGATTTTACATATATCAAAGTTAAGTTTGTCAAGGGATAAATTACCAAAGAAACTTCTCTAAAGTCTCTCCTAGTAGTCATAATATTAAACAGATTCTGATCCTATTTAACAATCATGCTTTCTCAGAAAAGTTTGTGATATCACTCCAACATAAATGATAAAGTTTAATCACTTTCATAAAGAAAAGGGATTATCTCCTTCTATATTTACTACCTTTTTTTCAGTTCAAGTAAACTAATTTAAAATTAAAATATTATCTAATCAATGTTTACAAACGTGATAAAGTAAAAACTCTATTTGGTAATTTATCTTTCCTTTTTCTGCCTATTTGTAATGATCAAAGTAAAGATTCAAAACTACGTTAATATAAGCAAAATTTATTTCAAGTCAGTAGTCTTGCAAGAAACTTCGCGTGCAATCCAAGTTATTCAAGCTGAAAACTGCTTGGAAAGTAAAATAAGTGATGCAGAAAAAAATTCTGTAAACCGTTTTTCGGAGACCAAGTAAACATTAGGTGTTGGTTCATCAAAAAGTGGAGAAAGACAACACTGGATCTTCACTGGAAATAGTGTTTATTTAGGCTGTTCTTGTTTGGGTCCCTGGAGGTTTGAGAACGTTACAGCAGCACGATACTCTTGTAAAGGCTCGGTGGTTTTGTAATTCCTCACCCTAATTTCTCTTCAATAAGATAGTAAAGCTTAAGAGCCTAGACTCCAAGCAAGAGAATTAATAGGAGAACCAAGAGCAAAGGGAAGAAAGAAGACTACAGGGCGTCATGTAACATTGCGTGTGTTCAATATACAGAGCTCCTAGTACGTCTTCATCACTTGTTTTCTTTTAGCATCTATAGAAAACTCTAAAGTTATATATGCCTCCTGGAAAACTCCTACATAGCTGCTTTGAAACGTATTGTGTTCACTTTGCAAAAGATATCATAATATTGCAATTAATTAACTTTTTTCACATTCAACTGAAATAATAAGAGTCAGCTTTTTAGAATTTCCATGTATACTGAAATGGATTACAACTCTTCATGTTTTGCCAAGTTTTATATAACTAAACAAATGAGCTAAGTTATTGCTTAAGCATGTTTACATGCTTTTTACTCAACCAAAACCTAAATGGATTTCATCACTATAAAAGTTTTATATGCGATAAGAACTGATCCAAATATTATTCTCATTGACTCGGTTTGTTTGTTTGAAGTTAAGCACAAAGCTACATAATGGGCTATCTGTGCTCTGCCCCCACGGGTATCGAAACCCGATTTCTAGCGTTTTAAGTCCACAGACATACCGGTGTGTATTTCAACAGTAAAGTTAAAAAAGTTTTTCTAAAAACATATAACCACTAAGCAGTCATGCAACATTTTTATTTTAAACAACATTGACAAAATCTAGCAAGGACTAATTTTAGATGGGCGTCACATTTTGAAAGGAACATCATTAAGAAAATTGGCAAAACAAAATACCGAAAAAGAGAGAGACCGACGTGTGTTTTAACTATGGCTACGATAATAAATATTCGGATTAAAGTTTTTGTCACTTCTATTAATTCAAAACATTGACTTATTATATCACAATAATGTTTACGTTATTGCAATACAAATGGTCAAGTTCTCTTTTTTTAATTGAAACCAAATCCAGTATTTGGATATATTTTTTATCAGTACGTCCTTTGATGATAAAGGACGCTACAAGGTTATGGTTCCTTACCGTGTTGGAAATATATAGGTTGAAATTCTTTCTCAGTTTTACAATGAGTTTCTAATATAGAAGTGTATGTTATTTGTATTATCTTAAAAATTAAAAGCACATGATATTTATGGAAATGTTTCGAACCGTGAAGAATAATTTTATCTTTGTGCTTCAAAAATATAATAATACCTCAGGATAATGTATCCTTTCACACTTACTGCCCCTTTTGTGATAACCTACTTAAAGTCTGGAATAAAAAAAATTGCACGCTTGTATCTTCTTTACCATGGAAGGAATGTAGTGTTTTCAGACTTATGTGTTTCTGACACTAAATAAAAATGTATAGTTTCAATTTACAGATTTTCTGATGTCTTGAATTTCTGATAAGCCAAGTTATTTTAGCAAAGGATATAACTATCCTGCACTTTCTAACTTAGCTCTTTTAATCAAGCAACTAGTTGCGATTATGGATAATATGATATATAAGGATGCGAGGAAGAAAATTGGTCTAAAAAATTTGCTATCATGTTGTCCAAAGCATCTTATGGTTTTTAAATAAGAGAGAACACACGAGATTGAGAAACATTATTCAATTTTACTTCACTGCTTTGAATTTAGGCT